ACTGCCGTGCGACGATAGTTTTGTAGAATTTCTGACTGATGACAAATCGGTCGAATTTTGATCCCGGCTTGAAGCAAGCGTATGTCTAGTCACACTGATGAGCTGCGAAACAGTCTGTCTGTGGATGACTATATATATATATATATATATATATATATATATATATATTATATTTGGGCAGTAACCTTTCTTTTAAACATTTTTCATTTAATACGGCAAGTAAGATTTAATTAATTTTTTATTTAGTTTTTCAAGCATTCTCGCGTTTTTTTTTTTCGTTTTGTCGGAATAAAGAGGTACAGAAATTTTCCTGTTCCATGTGCTTTCGACCACTTTTTAGCTATTCTCAGTATATATATATATATATATATATATATATATATATATATATATATATATAATTGAACATAGAAGTCAATACTTAGAGGCGACAGTCTGTTTCATTTTGATGCAATCGTCAGGTCACGAGTCGTAGCCTGACGATTGCTTCTAGCATGAAACAGACTGTCGCTCTAAGTGTTGACTTCTGTGTTCACTTTTATATTTACAAACGCTCTATCTCTGATATTGAGCACTTTATCCCATAAATATAGTACATCTTAAGATTATTTCTTCACACATATATATATATATATATATATATATATATATATATATATATATATATATATATCGATGAACTCTTGAAACTCCATTTCGCCATTTTATATCATTAACTTTACTAATCTACTATTTGTATGAATGATTCATTGTAATATAAATTGAACTGCATCACATATTTAATATATATATATATATATATATATATATATATATATATATATTTAAAGTGATCATAGAAATCAAAACTTAGAGTCTGTTTCATGCTATATTCAATCGTTAAGCCACTCGTGGCCTGACGATTGCATCTATCATGAAACAGACTGTCGCCTCTAAGTGTTGACTTCTATGTTCAATTTTATATTTACATACGCTCTATCTCTGATATTGAGCACTTTATCCCATAATTATAGCACATCTTAAGATTATTTCTTCATATATATATATATATATATATATATATATATATTCTTGCCCATAGAAATGTATATACATGTATAACATGAAGTGCTTCGAATTAGAGACAGTTGACTCACAATAGCCTGTAGCACTTCCGTTCGGTTGAACAACGGCGGCTACGTGATCTGACATGGAATTTACCGGATGGCGTGGTCGTTGCCTGGGTATATTTTTTCCCGGTGCATTAAAGGGTTGTCCATTATTGAGTTGTGCGTGTTGGGTGTGGCTGCATGCAATTTAAATATGGTTAGCTGGGTCTGGGGCAATGAAGCTGGACAACGTGGACAAGGGGTGGGGGACTCCGCGCCAATCATCAACGGTAAATATGATGATAACCTTTGCACTAGATGAGCCGCAGCAATCGATTAACGGGTCGTCACTAATGTTAATCTTATTGGTCGACGTTTACAAACCCTATGTAATGAAATATACGCTGTGTAATGCGTTGTTTTGCCAGGTTGAGCAGCATCGCTTATGAATTCAGATGTGATACCTTTTATACCTTTTCTTTATTATACTAGTCAGTTATCTACAGTCGCGTTCTTTCCTGTGTCGGCGGGTACTTGCAGATTTTACTTGCTGCTTTTAAGAAGGAACTCATTCTTGGTGAATTACTACTTCGATTATTTTTACCTCGGTTTTCCGGACTTTCGATTATTTGTACCTCGGTTTTTATGGACTTTGATTATTCGAATCGGACATAACACTAACGTGTTTTATTTTTCTAAAGGCATTTTATTTTTCTAAAAGATTATTAAAATTACTTCTTCGATTATTTCTACCTCGGTTTTTCGGACGTTCGATTATTTGTACCACGGTGTCTACAGACTTTGGTTATTCGAATCGGACAAAACACTAATGTATTTTACTTGTCTAAAAGCATTTTATTTTTCTAAAAGATTATTAAAATTACTTCTTCGATTATTTGTACCTCGGTTTTCCGGACTTTCGATTATTTGTGCCTCGGTTTTCCGGACTTTCGAATATTTTTTGCCCCGGTTTTCCGGACTTTCGATTGTTTGTACCTCGGTTTTACGGACTTTGATTTTGTTATACTTCGTGACCTAAAACTGAAATCACCTCGAATTCGAACAATAAAACGAAAAACAGTAGTGTTACAAATACAGAAAAACACGTGGCCAGTCGGAAACGGACAAATACTAACGCATTTTATTTTTCTAAACGATAAACTGGAAAAAAAAAAGGTCTTTATCACAGCGGTTGAATATGTTACTTTTCCGATATAAATTTTAGATAACTTTCGAGAATTATTTTTTCTTAATTCTTTAAATATATATATATATATATATATATATATATATATATATATATATATATTTACTCTTGAATAATCTTAATATTGTATTCATGTTATCTCCACCATATAAATAGCAGTCGATCTACCCAGTGTCTACTAATCCTGATCTTGGTTGGGATTAGT